TTGGAATTGGGAGTTGAGGAGGCCTTAAAGTTAGCTCTTACAATAACAATTATTTGAAAGTAAATATGACTGCTTGGCATTGGATGGCTTGCCTATTCTTTATTCTTCCTCCCTTATTAGCACCCCTGGGTATCTCACTACAGATCGGAATGGCTCAGTGCTTGCTCTCATCTGCTGGGATCATTGCTATTTATACTTACTTAAGCACAGAGTTTGGAGAAGGCAATGGCACCCCACTCCAGTACTCTTGCCTCAAAAATCCCATGGACGGAGGGGCCTGGTAGGCTGCAGTCCATGGGGTCGCTGAGTCGGATACGACTGAGTGACTTCACTTTCACTTTTCACTTTCATGCATTGGAGGAGGCAATGACAACCCACTCCAGTGTTCTTGCCTGGAGATCCCAGGGACGGGGGAGCCTGGTGGGCTGCTGTCTATGGGGTCGCACAGTGTCGGACACGACTGAAGTGACTTAGCAGCAGCAGTAGCAAGCAGAGTTAGAGGATGTTTAAGTTCCTATTGAACTCTTTCTGTAATACAATGTAGCTATTTTACTTCTCCCAATCATTAATATTAGGATATGAGAAAAAAGAGTGACCTGTTTCACTGGTTGGTTTGGCTATTGTATAATACCTCTTTTCTTTGTAATTTTCAGATTAACAAATTGGGGGATCATTTATAAATATCTTGAATAAAATGAAAAAGATTGCTTTCTCACGTATAGAGCTGACTCAGCAAATACCAAATTTGGATAAACATTTTGAAAGAAGAACCAGCATCAGAAAAACCCAACTGATGGAACAGATTATCTAAATATAAAAGATGAGAAATCTTTTTAATGTGTTTTTGGGTGGGGGCAATTATGTCAGTGCACACAGACTAGAGCTTGTTGAAGATTTGGTTAGAAAAACAAAAGAATCATATAAAGAAAACTCCATATTCTTTAACCTGTAGTGTCCATGAACATATAATAAGTACTGAGGACAAATATTTTCTAGACTTATTTGTTGTCAAAAATTTTGTCTCATAGTTTGCTGTTGTTTTCTCAACAGACTTCATGTAAATGTAAGTAAAAATAACTTTTAAGGAAGTGAATCCTGTGAATGTGAAGGCAATAATCTAAATGTTTAGAGTATAGTTAGGAAGTTCCCCTGAAGAGAAGGGTTGGCTACCCACTCCAGTATTCTTGCCTGGAGAATTCCATAGACAGAGTAGCCTGGTGGGCTACAGTGTAGGGGGTTGAAAAGAGTTGAACATGGCTGAGCGACTAACACTTAGGAGGTTCTGTTACTGAGATGTGTATTGTATTGGTACAGTTGACACAGTAATTGTAGTATATATACCAAAAAATAGAGAATTGCTGATTACAAGTTAATGTGGCTAGAATTAGAAGAAAAATTTCTTAATCCAAATTGAAGCATTTTCATTATAAATTATTATTATTTTTGTTGGATAGTTAAAAACCTGTATCAGAGCTATGAACTTTAAAACTGCTAAAATATGTAGAGGGGAAAGATTGTCCATATAAAGTGAATGAGGAGCATTAATTTCTAGGAGTTTCTTGCTGATTAGTTATACTATTTAAAAGATGTAACATTCTAGTACCTGAAAAGTATCCCCAATAATAACTTTTACTCTTGTTTCATTTCAACCCTTCTGCTTGTCAGTAATACAAGCAGATTTGTGGCATTGGTCTCAGCTTCCTGGGATTAAGAAAACTCTACAACAAAACAACCACACCACATCTGAAAGGCTTCCTGTTTTGGTAGTGTACTCTTTTGACTGACTCTGCATCTCTCTGAAGAATGGCTCGTGGATTCTTCTGGCTGTTTAAAAAACAGTTAAACTTATATTTTAAGTTCAGAGAAGAATTGATGAACCCAAGAAGATATAAGAAAGGATTCTTTCTCACAACCCTTAAAACTTTCTTTGTTTTTGTTTTTCTCTTTTGAAAACTTTTAAGTGTTTACAGAATCAAATGTTAATTTAAAACTGAGGAAGTGCCTGTTAGTATAACTGGAATGCCTGTGAAGGTAAGCAGATGAAAGGACAGATGCACTGTTTTATTTAGTGCATAGAGTACTTTAGAGAAAGTAACTGGTCATAACTGAATTGTAGGGCGAAGGATAGCTCCTTTTTTCTGAAAGGAGGAAAGTTGCCCTAAATGTTGTTCATTATCTCTACAGCAGGAGTTGCTTTAACAAGTGCAGTCGAGATAACCAGGGTATTGCAGCAACAGAGACTAAGCACATCAAGCCATTCAGTAACAAAGAAAATAAAAGAACAGGCTTCCACACTTATCTGTGTTGTGTGGTACCGTTTGTGCTGAACCAAAGCATCTGCTACCTCAAGTTAAGAGAGAACAAACTCAACATGGCGTGAAATTACTGCACTGCCATTCACATTCATTAGAGTTATATTGTTACCAGCCACAGGCATGACTGGCTTTTGCATGAATAATAAAATGCTGCTTTGTGAATTTTACCTTAAAACATTACAAGGAACAGTACTAACCTTGAGCCAAGAGTGGGTCTATCTTAGAACAGCTTTTCTCACCATGGTAGGGTCAAGACCAGTGAAAAGTCAGAAGTTGCAAAGAATTTTTGCTACATGAGGCCTTTGAAAAGGGTTATGTGTTAAATCAATTTACTCATTTTTTAAAATTAATATTGTGCAGGGTAGCTATTATTAGACATTAAAGATTACTAAAGTGCCATTTGGCAACATTGTAGTGATCATTGATTCAGGCAATAAAGCTGTCAAAGGATGCTAAACGTACTGGGTCAGAATTTGATGAGGAATATTTACACAGTTAGACAAAAGGAAAAAGTAACTTTACAGTGTAGAAACCTGAAAGAACACTTCATCCAAATGATCACAGTTATCATCAGTCATGGGAAAAACTGACATCATGTGCCTACTAAAGTAATGCACTGAGAAGACATCTGGGTCATTCCGGTTAAAAAATACACTCCCTAGTGGCTCAGATGGTAAAGAATCTGCCTGCAATGCAGGAGACCCCAGTTAGATCCCTGAGTCAGGAAGATCCCCTGGAGAAGGGACTGGCTTCCCACTCTAGTATTCTTGCCTGGAGAATGCCATGGACAGAGGAGCCTGGCGGGCTACAGCCCATGGGGTTGCAGAGTCGACACAACAGCAGCTAACAGCATCAACCTGAATCTAATCTTGAGAAAATGTCAGACCCAAATTGAGGAGCTGTCTACAAAATAACTGGCCTGTACTCTTCCAAAGTGGTAATGTCATAAAAGACAAAGAAATGCTAACTAACTGTCCTCCGTTAAAGAAAACTCAAGAGGCAGTGGCTGCTATGCAGTGTGTGATCCAGAATTTCCTTTCCTTGCTATTTCATTGACTTTTTATCTTCTGGTATCTAGGTACAGAAGTGGGATATTTAAATATGAAAAAAATATAATAGTCAATATAATATTATATTTGGTTTCCTTTGTATTTTGCTTTCCTGGATTATGTGGATTCTAAATAGTGTTACGGATTTTGCTTGGTATTTTTTAAACAACAGTCAAAAATATTAGGTCTCTTAGCGTAGTTGAATTACATTTCAAGGTATTGAAGAGTTAAAAATGATAATACTTGTTTTACCAAATTTCCTATCAGTGGGAGAAAGTAGAGTCCTCATGCTGTTTTAAAAATACTAGGCTGCACCATTTAAGAGTAACGAGAACTCAGGAAAGGAAGTAGCAATCACTGAGATAAATTTGTAAAGAAGTGATGATATTCATAAAGAAGTTTGGTATGATTTTTAGACAGTTATATAAAAGAAATGCTTTATTTTCAGAAAAGTAATTTGATGAGTGTCTTATTTCCTCCTGGACAAGAGGAAGAAATAAACTAAGTGATTGTAGTTAAGTAAATAATTAATTGAATAAAGATGGCTTCTAGTATTACATCTGTTGAAGAGCTTTGTCCTCAGTCTTGTTCTAAACTTTAATTAATAACTTAGATAAAGGCATTGATGACATACAGACCAGATTTCAAAATGATAGAAATCTGGGAAGAAGAGCCAAATCATAAAATGACTGAAAGAGAAAATGAAAGATAACGCTAGCTGAGAGTGATAATTACCTAGCAAAATAAATCTGACAGGAATGAATTCTGCAAAGACAACCAGTCATCCATGATGGATAGAAGGCAAAAAAAAAAAGCTTTAGGTTAATCCATGGAAGCTCAGTTAGCCAAATGGCCAATTGGCCATAATTACCAAAAACTTTGACTTAATATGTATCAGTTGGGTCCAGTCAGAAAAATGGAAAACACTTAGTACTTCAAACACGGGGAACTGTAATGCAAGGAATTGGCAATATAGATGTTAGAAGGCTAAAAGAGAGAAAAGGCAGACACTGAGTTATTAAAGAGAGAGTAACCACAGGAGGCAGCTATCATACCAAGAACTGAGAAACAAAAGGGAAGACATTATCATAACCAAGATGCCACAGCCCTAAACTTCCACTCAGACTTATGAGGGGACACGCTTGTGTCCTGAAATGTCCTAAAAACCATATTACTAAAAGATGTCCGTTTACATAAGAAATATTCCAATTGTAGTCTATACACTGAATTAAAAGTGATCACGTTTGGTTCTGAAAATAAAGCATAAAACCAATTTGACTTCAATCATGTTAATGTTCTGTACTTTTTCCCTCATGCTTAAAATAGCTTTACCACTAATAGCCCTTCTACCTCAGATGTATTGCTAAGTGACCTCTCCGGAAGATTTTAGTTTTTATAGAAATTTAGGGATTTAAAAAAAGAAGCAACATGGCAGATGAGTTGGGTGGGCTAAACATTCTGTTTGGTTATACTTTTTTTTAATCTTTCTCACTGATACCTTAAGCATTATTAAGTGGATTTAATATTGAGTGTTTCAACATAAAGGTATCTGTCATATGATGAAACGTTGAAGAGCAAAGTTTGGAATTGATTTCTCTGTCTTTTTTTCCTCTCCCCCTAAATATTGTGTCTTTAGGTCAGTAACAGATCCAAGAGATGGAAAGAGAGTAGCACTCAAAAAGATGCCCAACGTCTTCCAGAATCTGGTCTCTTGCAAAAGGGTCTTCCGGGAATTGAAGATGTTGTGTTTTTTTAAACATGATAATGTAAGTGAAGTTGGTGTTTGGGATAACTATTTCCTAAGCATGTTTAATTATGTTAGTAAAGAGCAGAAGAGACTTAAAAAGGGTACATTACCATATTAAGGGATTTGGAAACCTGAGACAAAATAGACCTTTTTTGTGAATGAGCAAATTTAAATGAATTCTAGGATTTATTGATTGACAAATATTAATTGATATAAAGCAAATGTTAAAACTTAGCTTGGGAACAGTACTAATACTCGATGTAAAAATAGAGTATAGTATGCAGTCTGAGTGATTTAAATAGAAGTAACTGGCCCCTGATTTTAAATGCCTTACTTTTATCTTTTAGTATTTTAAATCAGAGTTAAGTTAAAGATATAAGAAAACAGTTTTTCCTCTGAAAAACAATACAGCTCTTAAAGATAATATGTGTTATCTTATTTATTGCTCTGCTTAGAGATATCAAGACTCATGGAGAAAGAGAATCATAGTGGTTTGAGAGAGCTTCTCTTCAACTGATCCTGAATTAAAAGTTTGATACATGTAAAATTTCCCCGGTGGATGTTAGTGTTAGACTGTTAGTTTTCAATTTCATATGAAAAGTAAAACTGCCTCACATTCTGCATTTGGTTCTCAACCTGTGCTATTTTAATTGCTGAAATAAAAGTCAGGAAAATAATAATTGCTTATGAATCTGACTGCTGGTTTGCACAGGAACTTTAAGAACTTTGGCCAAAGTGTGAATCACGCTTTAAGACAAAAATTTATAGAAGTCTGAAGTATTTGGTAAAACTGGGAATATCAAACTTACAATGTGTTTTTGTTTGAAGCTCCTTGGTTTGACATATTTCATTTTACTGATTGCCCCCCCTCAATCCATTTTCCTTAAACTTTTTTAGAAAGTTATTGTTTTGTCTTTTATTCAGTTGGAACTGCTTAACAATGTGTGTGTTTGTTTCAGTAACTTTCAAAACATCATTCCAGTTGCTATTTCATGACTAGTTCCTGAAATTTTGGAAGTGATTTTAGATTTATGTCTAATGCTTGCTTAGTTATTTATTTCTCAAATTTGCCTTGTGAATACCAACCCAGCATCAAAAGAGTTACACACCTTATATATACATTGTCAGAGACTCAAGTAAAGGGATCCATGGAAAAGAGATATTTTGCAGGTGGCATCAGAAATTCACTTACTCCAGGTTTCAATTGTTTATTATATTCAGACCTATCTCGGCTTCTTTTATAAAGGAGGGATGGTGTAATTGGCCACTATCTGTATGTATTACTATCTTTGCTCATGACTCATTCCTATAGAGTAGCTAATTAAGTTACAGAGAGAGTGTCAGAGTGAGTAGTGTAAGAAAAGAAACAAATTGCGTCCTTGAAAATCACATATTAACACACAGCAACTACTGTTCGGAGCTCCTGAGGTCTATCATAAAAGAGTGCTTGTGACTTTTGTGGGAATGTTCGAAAGTGAGGCAGATAGTTGGAGTTGAAGACATCATGGCACCACTATTTTATACATAATGAATTTATGCCATGCTCTGAAATCTACAGAAGTATCTTGAGGCCAGCATACCTGGTATGTGTGGAATGCCAATCTAAGAGGCAACTGGTATTTGATGTAGTTAAGGCAACAGGTGTTTATTAATTGTGTCCTGTGTGCAGAGTGTGGTGCTAGGTCATGTGAAGAATACCAAAAAACAAGTTTAAAATATGGTCCTTTTTTAAAGGAAGTAGACCAGATGCTTGAGCATTTGTTACTGAGTGTCAAGAAGTATATAGACACTTACGTATATTAATATGTAGAAATCTTGTCAGATGGGGTTTGTTATCCCTACTCTACGGAGAAGGAAACCAAAGCTTAGAGTTAAGTAACTTGCCCAAGGTCAAGGTGGCACAAGATTGGAATTTAAATCTGTCTTGCTTCAGAGCCCATATTCATTATTTTAATAAACATTTATTGTGTGCATCCTATATCCCTAAACTCCATCAGCTTCTAGGGGTTTCTACCCTCGGGGAGTTTAGTAATGTGATAAATACTGTGATAACAGTGCTGTGGGAGGACTACCTGCCTGGTTAAACATTAATGCAGGACACTCTGCTCTGTGCAGAGTGAAAAGCTGGGCAACCAAACCTCAAAGTATATTTGAATCACCAGGTGAGTCTTAAAAAATGAAACTTCATGGGTTTCATCCCAGACCTACTAAATTGTAATCTCTGGGATTGAGATTACAGGTAGCGGTACTTTTTTTAAAGCTTCTCAGGTGAAAGATGACAGGTAAGTATTGTACTATTAAGAAAGAGAGAGTAATTGTCCTCAACTTAAGACTCTCAAAGATGATTTTAACAAGGAGAAGGTAAACCTTAAGATGAGCCTTTTGAGATTAAGATTTGATTGACTAGAAGAAGAGAAAGGAATGTCATGATGAAAATGGCATTTAGAAAGATTCACCTGGCTGTTGCAGAAAGGTTGGGTTTTAATTTGAATGACTTTGTATGTGTCAGAGAATAGCTTCAGAGTCCTGGAAGACTTTGGATTTTGTTTTGAGCAGAACCTTCAAAGTCCTTGTATCATATTCATTGATTTCAGGTGATTTGACTGATTGAGATACACACATACACACACATTGTTTTTTCCTTAATGTTTATTCATCTTATAGGATAAGTTCACTGTGATGTAGTAATTTAAGGTGCCAGAAATGGGTTTAACTTTCTGAAGATCGATGTTGTTTAGTAGTGTAGTAGCATCTCAGTAGTATCTAGTCAGAATTTGAGATGTGACTGTGTATTCTCTACTTCACAGACATGGTTGTCATTTTAACAGCATGGAAAAGGGGTGTTTGAGGGTTTTTTCAGTCTTTGAGAACCTGATGAATGCTAGGTACCCTCATTTGGAAAAATATATATGCACACAATTTTTGCTTCATTTTAGACATTGACTAGCCCTCTAAAGCCCATCCAAAGCCTCCTTAGGACCCTCTGATTCCTGCCATGAGCCCTTGTTATACAGCTCTTGGGTTTTTCTTGTCCTTAGGTAACAGCACTAATCACACTGTAGGTAGACAGTCTATTGAAGAGTGAGTGAGTGAGTGAAAGTGACAGGAAAAAATATGAAATCTTGGAGTTACTTCTTCTCAACCTGTTAGTTCTGGAGGAGGGCAAAGAGGAGGTAGAGAAAGCAAAGAAGAATGATTTGTTTTCCTTTGTATAGTCTGACTGAACTCAAACAAGGCCTCTCTGGGTACATAAGTAGGAAAGAATCATACCAATAGGACCCTTCTCTGAATGCCGACAAGCTATTTGGCTACAGACATTATTAATGCTAATGGTTCTGCTGCTAAGGAATATGAAAGGGCAAAGGATACTTAGAATAGGTTACTTATTAGTGGATTTGGGGTTTTTATTGCTCTGTGTCTAAATTTTGTGGTACTCTTGATGCATTTATAATAATACAGTAGCTTGTATACATGGGCTGAAATACTCACTGTGGTTAATATGCATGCTTTACCCAAGTTGAGCCATATATTCAATGTAATCCCAATGAGCATCCCAGCAGGGTTTTATGTGTATGTGTGTTTGGAAATTGACAAACATTCTAAAGTTTATGGAAAAGACCTGAACTAGTCGAGACAATCTTGAAGAAGTTAAACAAATTCAGACATCCAAGTATTGAAACATATGAAGCTGTAATAATCAAGGCAGTACAAGGATAGACAGATAAATGGAATACACATACATGTATGTCTATAAACTGACATACATGTATGTGTTCACCTGATTTATAAGATAGGTGCCACTGCAATCCAGAGGGGAGTGGATGGCCATTCCAATAAACCAAAATCAATTAGATACCCATTTGAAAAAAAATCTGGGTTTCCCTGGTGGGTCATTGGTAAAGAATCCACCTGCCAATGTAGGAGACAAGGGTTTGATCCCTGGGTGGGGAAGATCCCCTGGAGAAGAAAATGGCAACCCACTGCAGTATTCTGGCCTGGGAAATGCCATGGGCAAAGAAGCCTGATGGGCTATATAGTCCATAGGGTCGCAAAAGAGTCAGACACAACTTAGCAACTGAACCATAACAACAAGAACAGTGAAAGAGATCTACTTCATGACATATACATAAATTAATTCAAAATGGATCAGAGACTTAAATGTGAAAGGTAAAATAACAAAGCTTCTGGAATGAAACATAGAAAAATGTCTTCACAACTTTGAGATAAGCAAAGATTTCTTAACTAGACAAGTAAAGCATTGACCATTTTTTTGAAAAATGTTAACTAGGACACCATTAACATTAAAAATTGATGCTCATCAGAAGTTTAAGGGATTTCCCTGGTGGCTCAGATGGTAAAGAATCTGCCTGCAGTGCAGGAGACCTGAGTTGGATCCCTGGGTTGGGAAGATTCCCTGGAGGAGGGCATGGCAACTCACTCCAGTATTCTTGGACAGAATTCCATGGACAGGGGAACCTGGTGGGCTACAGTCCATAGGATCGCAAAGAGTCAGGTGACTGAAGCAACTAAGTATATGCAGCACAGAAGTTTAAGAGAAAGAAAAGACAGACCTCAGACATCATCCAGCAAAAAACTTGTTTCCAGAATTTATTATGTGATAGAACAATTTTTTAAATTAATGTTTAGCATTTGAGGAAAGCCATTAGAAATAAATATTTTACTTGATGTTTTTTCAGACTGTAAATTCTGTATATTATATATCTTATAAAGAGCTCCTCCAAATCAAAAATTTTTGCCCATCAGTAAAAGACTTAAGAATTTCACCAAAAATAGGATAACCAAATGGCTAATAAGCCTATGACAGATTGCTCAAAGTTGTTAGTCATTGGGGAAATGTAAATTAAGATTAGTGAGATACTACTATATACCCACCAGAATGGCTGAAGTGAAAGACTGACAATACCCATTGTGGATGAGGATGTGAATCAACTGAAGCTTATTGTTGCTGGTGAGAATGTAGATTTGTAAACCCACTTAGGAGAACTGGTAATTTGTTACCGAGTCCAATTTGCTCTGCTCCTGGGAGACAAGGTGCTGAGGCAAGGAATACGAGTTTAAGCCGACTGTCCAAAAAGATGGCAGACTAATGTCTCAAAGTAACCATCTTGTTGGTATCTAGATGCCAGTTTCTTTTATAGAACCAAAGAGAAAAGTGCTGAGGAACTAAAGTCAAAAGGCAGAACAGAGAGGGAGAGGCAGTGAGGGAGTAAAGTAAAGAAGACCATCAGTCTTGTAACACATCTACTGGAATGGCCTGCTTGTGGAAGAGATGTGTTAATCTCTTGCAAACATTCACAGTAGGCAGAGTCAGATTATCTCTGTGAGCTGAACAAAGGCACTTTAGTTTAACAGGCAGAAGGCCAGGGTCCTCTGAGACAGGTTGTTTATGTATGATTATAATAACAACAGCAACGAACAGCAAGTCAAAGAAACATTCAGCTCGGAGTCAGAATTGGTTGTTCTCTGCCACAGTTTCTGCTAAAGCTAAATATACACCTGCCCAGTGACCCAGCAGTTCTCTTTGGTATACCCAAGGTAAATGATTGCATATATCTACCAAAGGACATGTACAAAAATGTTCATAGCAGCTTCATTCATAATAACATTTAGAAACAACCCCCAAGTTTGCCAGCAGTACTCTGGATAAATACTTTGTGTTATATTCCCTTGATATGATGGTATCCTACACATCAGTATAAAGGATGAAGATTCATACATGGGTGAATCTCACAGACATAACAGTAAATGAGAGAAACCATATACAAAAGACTTGATTTTTTATGATTTAATTTACGTAAAGTTCAAGGACAGGCAAAAGGAATCCAGGGTGATGGAAATGAGAATAGTGGTAACCTCTGAGCAGGTATGGGTTTTGACTAGAAAGGAGCAAGGGGGCTTTCTGGGATGTTGAAATCCTTAATTTCTTGATCTAGCTTTTAACCATGGAATAAAAATTTGTCATGTTATATACTTTATGTGTATAAAAATTATTCAGATTATACACTACAATCTGTATATTTTACTATATGTTACAGCTCAAAAAAATAACATTCTCTACCTTAACTTAAAATCTATTGGGGGTGGGGGTAGGTGAGAGAATGAAGAGGCTGTGGGAGCTCCTTTGCTTAAATTTGGGATTTGAATTAATTAAATTTGAATTCCACAAACAGTTAAATTTTTAGTCTTTACATTTAGGATTGAGATTATTTACAGCAATTGTTTTATTGATAAAGGGTTAACTAAAAAAAAAAAACAACACTAAACCATTTACTAATGTAACTAATTTTAGTGAATCTTCTAACATCACAGAGGTTAAAATTCTGAAAAGCAGCTACCACAATGAGCTTTTATCCAACTCTTAAAAGATTTGAGAAATGTGCTGAGACACTGGTAATGACCATTATTTCAGGACTGAGCTTTAGTTCATTTTTTAATTAGACAAATCAGCTTGCTTTTTGTGTGTTTGAGATCCTCAGAGTCTTGAGTCCGTGGCATTTTGGGATACTTTGACTCTTTACAAGTGACCTCCTATTTACATCATAAGGCTAATCTCACATACTCTATTCCCATAAATAATAAAGGGGTTATAGAAGGACTTGGACTGTTTAAATAGTGAGTCAGTCATGAAGTCTGGGGTTTGAAACTCTGCTAATGTTCCTTCTCACTTAACTCATTTACATCACTTCTGAGATTCCTGAATCATCTCTAAGCACTGTTTTTGCCACCTGGAAACAGTGAATGCTGTCATCTGATAAACACTTTGAGGTAGAAAGAACAGGAAGATAAGACAATGGGCATTTAAAAAATTCCAGATAGAGTTTAAAGTATTATACCTTCAAAGCCAAGAACCACAGCTAAATGCTTTGGTGCACATGTCTAACCCTATTTTATATGGCTGTTCTACAGAAAGCCTCCTCAAATTTGGAGTAAGAAAGCCTCATTCTTCTCTATCAAGGTTTAAAATGTATGGTTGTCACTTTCCTTTAGATAACCTCTAATTATAGCAGATAGATTTGAAGTGTAAAATAGCTTTGTCTAATGGACGCTGTCACTCACTGCATTCTGTTTCCCCCCAAGACAGGATGTATGTTGTTCAGATACAGAGCTTAGAGTCCAAAAGTTGTCAAGTAAAACACTAATTTCTAACTGCCTTCCTCAAAGCATCAAATATTCATGTTAAAAATTGTTCTATCACATAATGAGAAATGAATTTATGTGAATTTGTGACACCAGCTAATTATAGGTGTTTAAAAATATAGAAATGAAGTAATTTATCTTTCATATGGTAAAAATTATTCTATGAAGAAACTGGAAAATCTGTTATTTTCCATTTATACCAAAATTTCCAAGTATAAACATTTTAATTCAGAAAGGAAATACAGATATTCTTTATAAACTAAGGATACTCTTTATAAACATCTAAACTATTTAAAAACCTTTATACTTAACTGGTATTAAAGTGAAAGTGAAAGTCACTCAGTTGTGTCCAACTCTTTGCAAGTCCATGGAATTCTCCAGGCCAGAATACTGGAGTGGGTAGCCTTTCCCTTCTCCAGAGGATCTTCCCAACCCAGGGATCAAACCCAGGTCTCCTGCATTGCAGGTGTATTCTTTACCAGCTGAGCCACAAGGGGAAGCCCAAGAATACTGGAGTGGGTAGCCTATCCCTTCTCCAGCAGATCTTCCCGACCCAGGAATCAAACTGGGGTCTCCTGCGTTGCAGGCGGATTCTTTACCTACTGAGCTATGAGGGAAGCCCTAAGTGAGTGAAGGCTTTTTCAGTAAAGGAGGTTTCATTTAATTAAAAACTTTATAAAGTATAAACAAATTATTGGCTAAAAAAAAATAATAATAACCTTTAAAATGAACAAAGGACTTCCCTAGTAGTCCAGTGGCTAAGATTCTGTGCTCCCAATGCAGAAGACCTGGCTCGATTCCTGGTGAGGGAACTAGATCCCACATGCCACTGCTCGGAGTTCACATGCTAAAGATTAAAGATCATGCATACCACAACTAAGACCTGATACAGCCAAATAAATAAAAACACTAAAATAAAATGAACAAAGTTTCTTCCATACATAAATTGCAAGGGGAAAAGAGAAATGGAGGAGAAATTTATAGATAAAACTTGCTAGATATGCATCAACCATAATGTGTAAATCCTCTTCAGCTCCTAATTTAGATTAACACTTTCTTTTTCCTTCCCCCAAAAATGAGAAATTTAGAAATCTGAGCACTGGGTATTTGATGGTGTTGAAAAACATTAAATTTTCAGATTTGTTCATTGTACTTTTTAAAAAGTTTTTAGCTTTTAGAAATATTTACTGATGTACAGCTGAAAATTTCTTCAAAATTTTACAGGGAGAGTGGAGGGTATAGATGAATGGAGAAAGGTCACATGAGGATAACTACTAAGGCCAAGTCTTGATTACATGAGTATTCTATTATTCTACCCACTTTTATATGTTTGAAGTTCTCCATAACAAATTTTTTCTTGAAAAACTAAACTAAAGATCAGGAAATATGAACTTGTACTACACAGTTTATTTCCTGTTAAATACCTTCTTCTGAATCCTTTGAGCATGATATTTCTCATTGGCAAGATAGGTTTGAATACTTAGGTGTGACATCATAGATGGGGCTTAAAGGAGTTGGTAGACAGTTGGTAGGGGAAGAAGGCCTATTATGTTTCTATGGCAGAAGTCACATTGGTAGTGTGCAGCTTTTATAAAGGACTTGAATTTCAGGTACCTTAAAGTCTTTTTTTTCCCACCCTAGTGACTTCTTTTTCTGTACTTGGAATAAAATCCAAAACACTTTCCATAGTTTAAAGAGATTTTGTGTGATATACTCCTGCCTTTCTCTTCTATTTTCTCCCGGTCTGTTTTCCTCCCACCCTCTGTGTTCCATAGGCACTGGCATTTCTGTTTCTAGAATCCTCCAGGTTCTTTCCTGCCTCAGTGCTTTTACACTGCCTAACCAACTCCTATTCACCCTGCAACTCTTGGTGTTCCTTCAGGGAAGCTTTTTCTTCCACTGCTCTGTACTTTTTCCCTTCATAATAATAAATTGATCCGTTTTTGTTAACTATTTAATGCCTTCCTCTCCCCTAGTCGAGAGAGTGGGGTGGTTATTTTTATTCATCAGTTTTACCGAAGAGCCTCCCAAAGTGCCTACCAAATAAAATACACATAGTAAACATTTTTGAACAGAGGAGTAAAGGATGAATGGTAAGTAGAGCTCTCAGGCTCTTAGAGCGAATCTGATTGTTAGAAATAAGGCATTTCTTTCCAGCATTCTCCTGTGCAGGTGTTCTGGTAGCATGTAGTATATCCCAATTGCCTCTCTCGTATTGGTGTAGCTAAAATTGTCTTTGATAGTAATTTTACAAAGCCTATCTTAATGTTTCAGTGTTTCTTGGTTGATAAATTTAGTTCATCTCAGTGGGCAATTATAATGAAGCCTGAAATCATTAATGAGTTAAGAGTACTTTTTTGCATTTGTCATATTTTGGTTCTTTTTTTTCCTCTAAATTTTGCTTCTTTATTTTTTTCCTTTCCCCAGGTACTCTCTGCCCTTGACATACTCCAACCTCCACACATTGACTATTTTGAAGAAATGTATCCTAACCAGGGAATGTGAAAGAAGGGAACAATTTTTTAATTAATTTGTTCCACTAGCACCTTCTGGGGTTCATGCCTTGAAGTATATTAAATCTCATCCTTGCAGAAGTGATTGAGTACCTAGAACCAGGTAATTTTGAAATCCCAAGTATCTGAAAAAGCTGAACGTTATCAATATATCCTGAGTGGTGATACCACAAAACAGGACTTCTGAATAGATGTTTCACTTCATCCCCACAGCCTTGTGAGATAGGTTATTGCTGTTCCTTTTTTGCTGATGAAACCATTGAGGCAGCTGTGTTTTAACAGAGTTTGGTAAAGTCCTTTGTCACCATACAACAATTGCTAGTCTGTCAAGAAGATAATACTGCTCTGTCTTTTTTTTTTAACCACTTGGGTAAGGTGAAAAATAAAGAGAGCTCTTGAATACTGTAATTCTTGGTGATACTTCAGCCTTCAGTCCTTTATGGAAAGCATCCCTCTGTGCAGTAAAGGGTTAGCTTAGTGAACTTGGGGCACCCTACTCCTACACATTCTCAAGAAATGACTGGCCTTTGACCAGCTCCTGGCTGATAGAGTGTCTTTGTATACCTTTTAGTGTTCAAAACTGAGATCTTGGGCCAGGTAAGATGGTTCTGACATACCTTTTCTTTAAACCTATAACAAACCTATAGGTTTGTTTCTATAAACAATTAGGGGTTTCTCTGGCAGTTCATTGGTTAAGAAACCACCTTGCAATGCAGGGGACCCCAGTTCAGTCCCACATGCTGCAAGAAATTTTTTTTTTTTAAAGTATATAAAATTAACCTAAGGATGGATTGAGAAAGTTTTTCTTCTTCTCAGCTATAGGTTAGTAGTAGCAACTGAGTAAGAGCATTAATGATTCCATTTCTGGACTTTCTGGTGATAACATGGCTCCTGATTGAAGAAAAGAAGGAAGCTGGTAGGAGGGGGGCAGTACTTGTTTCATTCAGCACAAGTAAATTTCTACGTTTGGCCAGGAGCCACCACCTTTATTTATCCTTTCTGTTGGTGGGAAGGGAATCCATATATTACAAGGCATTCCTGTGAGTGTGTAAAATCATTTCTGCCTCTTTGGAAATGAGGAAATTTTCTTTTTAAATAAGAATTTTACTGGATTTACAGGTGTGTCAGAGGTCCCCAAGATTACTGTCAGGTTTGATGATTTGGTGAAAGGACTCAAGGACCCAGGAAAGCTGTTCTACTCATGGTTACAGTGTATTACTGCAAAAGGATACAGATTAAAATCAGCAAAGGAGAAAGCTACGTAAGGCAGAGTCCAAGAGAAACCAGACACAAAGTTCCAGCTGTGCTCTCCTAGTGAAACTGCACAGATAGTGCTTAATTCTCCCAGCAAAAGTGTGTGACCACAGGAGTAAAATGTTATCGACCAGGGAAGCTCACCTTAGCCTTGGTGTCCGGGGTTTTTGTTGGAAGTCAGGGAGCCTTCAGGACTGACCTTAGCTACTCAGTCTCTAGCCCCTCCTCCCTTCTCACCCAGAGGTTGAACTAATACAGCTGGCCCAGGGCCCCAGGTGAACGAAAACAGGTGTTCACTATAAATCACATTGTTAGCATAAGCCATCTGGTGTGGCCAAAGCATCAGGTATGCTAAGACATTCTTATGAGGCAGGATATTGCAAGAGTTCAAAGGTTATTTCTCAGGGGCCAGTCCTAAAGACTTATGGAATGTGTAAGTTTGGGGCAACCCAGAGCTGCTGTTAACCCTTTATTGCACTTAGGCCATCTGTGGGGAAAGAATGTTTTCATATGAGATAATTGATGAATATGGGATATTTTAATAAATATCAAGTATTTGTAGATTTTCTTCACTGAACATGTAGCTAATTCATTATATCCTTGTCTGTTTTGTCTTGTAGTTCAAGCATGAATTCTTTATATCAGGCATTAATTTTTTATACTTGGATTTGTTATTCCTTTAAAATGTATGCTATTAAAAGTAGGAATTCTCAATGCTTATTATTATTGTTGTTCATAATTTGAGTCTGGGAGATCCTAGATTCATTTTTATTTCAAATACTTGCAGAGCAGCGAAAATTTAGCACCGTTACAGTTTAAAACCATGGGTGGCATAGGTGATGTAATAGCTGTTGGTAGCTGATTTCAGCCGTTTCATTAGCTAGCAGAATGTTTCTATGAAATTCCTTTCCCTAAAATTGTTCATGAATGTTTGTATTAAAAGCCTTTGTCATGAAATATTTGTGGAACCCTCTAGTATACCATTTACTTAAGTGTTTTACTTTATTTACCTTTAGGTTAAAAGATTGACACCTGTGCTTTCACAGTTATTAGCTGGCTACAAATGGAAAAACCTTCAAACCTAAACCTCAGTATTCTTTTTTCTGTCATATAATTTTTAGCTATATGTAGAATGATACATGGGAAAAAAGGTGCTTTTCAGTGATTGTGCCATTTGGAAAAAAATAAATCCTGTTAATATAAAAAGAGTTAAACCATAGCTGCCACAGGATTATAAAGACTTTTTTTTAATAAAGAAGACATGGTGAAGCTTGGGGTATAAAAATACTGAAATTATGTGTTTTAGAACAGCTAAATAGAAACGTAAGAAATGCGTTAGTTACATATGTGCTCTGCCTGATTTTTCTAGTATCCTAAATGGAACATTTTCTGTGTCCAGTGCTTTTTAATACAAATAAATTTGTTATAGCCAAAGCAAAAAAAAAAAAAAAAAAGATTTCCCTCAGTTTCCCTCTGAAAAATAAGAAAACTTCTGCCTAAAACACAAAAGTATTGAATGATTAATAGGATCTCAAGTTCCTATTTGATTTCAATGTAATACATTATCCATCTGTACCAGCAGCTCCCTCTGTAGTATCTCAGAATCATGGCATATACATTAAACATGGTTTTAGACAGTGCTTTTTTTTTTTAAGTTGAAGGCTTTTAGAATAGATAATATTTTGAATTTTAAATCCGTGATCTTGGAATTGCGCTTTGAAGAAACTATTTTGGAGGCTCTGTTGTTTTAGGTAAGTTCTAAATACATATATTGCTAGGCATCTAATGGATCTGATATTTCATCAATAAAAGAGCCCATTTATGGAGTCAAAAATATACATAAAGGGAAAGAAATAATCTTTAGTAATCTTAAACATAGAGTACCATATTATTATACTTTTTTCTAAGACTAGAAAATTGAGATGTTATAGTGCATATGTAAATTTCAGCAGACAATATTTTAAACCAGAAGACCTTTTTAAAACTAATCGAGTAGTTAATATCATTTTAGAAAATCTGAGGTCTGTGAACATTTTGATGTTAAAGTGTACAATGTCAACGTGTATCTCATGCAGTTAATCATCTGTTTTTCACTAAAACTGTAATAAAATGACTATATCAGTGCCCACCAAAAATTTAGCTTGGGTTTTGAAAGACCATGCATCTTTAAATAACTCCTTATGCAACTTTTAAAAAGACAGTGTCTAGATTATAACTGTTTACAAACCTTCCTACAGAGTTCAGCAGATGAATCAGGTATGGAAAGAGCAGTTAAGTTCTACCCTGACCTCGGTAACTTCTGCTTTTGTGTTTTCATAGTTTTAAAATCTAATATATCCACCAAAAAATATATTCTCTAATAATTAAGAAAAATTATATTTTTTAACTTGAAACACAGTCTTAACATTTTATGGAGAAGAATATGCATGGTATAAGTCTTCTGTGCTAGAAACAATTACAGCCTAAAACCAGTAGAAATGAAAAGTCTAACGGGATGACAGTGTGCTCCAGTTTGCCAGGACTCCTGGATTTTACCTGATGTCCTGGTATTAATAAGTTTCTCCTTTTACTTTCAGAAGTGTCCCTATTTGAATAATAGGTTTGGCTTGTGCAGGCAATGTTAAAACAGGAATTTCTTGTCATAAAGACAGTGAGGGAACCTACATATCCATTTCAGCCAGTTAAAGTCTTTGGTAGGCAGTAATGTAATACTATTGAATAACTACTCCCAGATGCAGTAGTTTAATTGATAGTATTAGTAGACTGTATTTTATATACACAATATGTAATTCCCTAGTGCTATGAAAGAGTTCTATAACCTTCAGGGAACCTTAGGAGCCAGTGAAAAGCTAAGAACAAGCAAAATAAAATGTGTAAATGCAGATATAAGTGCACTCTTTCTGCAGCAAAAGTACCAGCGAGGACCGGAAATCTACATCTTAAGAATTTTGAAGATTTCCATATTGTTAGAATTTCCTCTTCATTTATTCCATAAACATAAGCATCAACTATGTTCCTAGAACCAGGAATTTTTTTGTTTTGCTCACTGTTGTGTTCCCAGCACTTAGAACGGTACCTAACATATAGTAGGTGCTAAATAGACATTTGTTGAATAAGATAGTGTCTGACTTAACAGGTTTGCAATCTAGTAGATGATACAATCATATAAATAATATAGATTGGAAAGTACAGTGATAGAAAAAAATCTACATATTCTGAGAGCATTAAGGATCTGATTTTCACTCTTTCCCATTTTAGTTTCCAAGCTGATTACTTGAAAAGCATTTGATGTTTTTAAACAAAAACTTTCATTTACCCACCATCACCAGTTCTGGCTCCTTAGCCGTGGAGCCTAAGACAGACACTTAGAAAGGCAAAACAGAGGAAAAGTTGGTAGAAAAATCCAAGAACAGCAAAATTCTTAACTTTAACCACTTTAGTCTATATCTCCTCAGCTTGATTTATTCATGTGGCCAAACATTTAGCACTGTTATATGTTTAACATTGTAGTAATACTGATCCCTGTGGTGGTTATAGAGATATATTGATGAATTATTTAATTTTTAAAAATTTAGTGCGTCAGGAATTACTCTTCAATACTTCACTCTTATCTCCATTTTAAAGATGAAGAAACTATAGCTCAGAGAGGTAGATAACTTGATCAAGGTCACTTAAAAATGAGAGAGCAGGGGTTTGAATCCATGTTGACTGGTCTG